TTCCAAAGTGTAGATGTGCTCTCCTTGGACATTATAGAACTTAACAAGGGCGTTCCTCATGATGGACGAGCAGGCAGAGTCGACAGAAAGCCCGTGTCTCTCCATGCCGGCCACAGCCAGGAGGTCTCCCTGGGAGCACCACTGGGCCTCAACATCTGAGGAGTGAGCCTTATGTGTTATTGGGGCATATGATCAACATAATTGATCGGCATGCTTGGGACATTTTTATACCTTTCAGCCCTGAGCGGATTACGGAAGGAGAGAGGTCGTCATAGTTGTTCATTAAACTGATATCTCCTGATAAGAAGGTGACTGTCAACAAAGGCTTGACTCTCCTCACTTGGAAGAACAAAGAAAAGCAAGTTTATTAGACAAGGTAGCAAGCTGTCATATCAGCAGTGAGGTTTTGGGGGGGGGGATGTGTCTTTACCTAAAGGCAGAATATTGTCATCAGAGTCTGTGTCGCTCTCTGTGCTGTCCTCAACCAGGAAGTCGGGGCAGTTCCAGGACATGCTCACGATCCCGTCGGACTCGCGCAACAGAACGTGGGCGAGCATTCGTCCGTGACAGTCCATCACTATCACCTGACCATCTGCCGTACCAAACAAGACCTGAGGGGGCATTGTACATTAAACTTGAATAGATGGACATGATGAAAAAGCAATTTTTTGTCATTTTTCTTATCAAAGATAACAGACAGATTAACTAATACCAAAAGTCATTCCTACAAGTTCAACCAGGAAATGTGTACCTGTTGATCATCAGGCGTCCAGATGCCACAGGAGATTTGACTCTCCAGGTTAATCTCCGAGGACCAGTGTCTTTGTCCGCTGACCGAGCCAACTAACACAAATCCATCCCGGTACGCGATGAGGGCTTGAGTGCCATCATGTGACCAAGTGAAGTCACTCACCTGGATGGAAGAAATGTTCACCTTCAAGCTATTTGTGTATGTATACAGGACACTGCCATCAAAATAGCATAAGTGGGACGTATTTTTTTGTGTCATCAATGTCATCATGAATGTGATAGAAGAAAAATGTGTCTACCTGGGCTCCTCTGTCGTTCACCAACTCTACAGACCATCTTCCTTCATACTGGATCCATACAAAAATACCTCCTTCCATATCACAGGTGGCCAGTTTCTGAAAGGGTTCATTCCAACGCACCAAGACAACCTGCAAAAAAAAAACGAAACACTGTTACTATTTTTCGCAAACCCAGGTGGTTTTCTGCACAGAGGAACATTCATGATTCATATAGTGTGAGCACATTGCTTAAAAAGCTTTTTAGGCTGAATGTCATCTCAAAGTCCACTGCAGCTGGAAGGAAATTCGCTCAAGGTGTTGCTGAGATATCACGAGAATCAGACAGACGTGAGGTCACAGTGACCTTTGACCTCTTAATGCCAAAATACAATCAAATCATCCTCGCATCCAAGTGGACGTGTGTGTCAAATTTGAATAAAATTCCCTCCAGGCGTTTCTGAGATATTACTTTCACGAGAATCGAATGGACGGACGGAAGGACTGACAACCCAAAACCATTATGCCTCTGGCTGCTGCTGTTGCCGACGCAGAGGCGTTAAAATATGCATTTTACAAAGCATGCCAAAACATAAATTACTCTATATCTGCTCTGAATTTCTTTATTTTCTTTTTACATATCTTAACTTTCTCATCTGATTTGTATTGCATACAACGGAACTTAAAAAACAATTTAATTTCACTGCCTATATCTCTATAGATTACTACATTTTAATATTGTATGCATATTTTTGTCTTCTTACGGTCATGTGCTAATTAGTTATAGACTACTACATAGTTTCGATAATTTAAGAGTTGTAATTGTTGGCTGCATTTCTATTTGAGCTCTATTTATTTTATGATTATTTATATGCAAACGTTGTGATATATTCTAGCACTCTTTGCTGCTGCAACAATCAAATTTCCCAAAGTAGATTGTGAAAGCTTTATCTCATATTGTCTTATTGTCAGAGACAGGAAACATTGTTATCCTTATATTAATATAAGGACGGAGGGTTTTGTTCGGTATAAAAACATGTCAGCTTTGTTAGAAAGTCTTTCGAAAGTATTACAAACATATTTTCATTTTTTTTTTTTTTACAGTGAAGACATTGATATTGCTAGAGTCAAGGCCAGACCTCGCTGTTGTGTCCTCGCAGATTAAAGTTGATTCTCTGAGGCGTGCTTCTGTCCCTCCTGCAGTGACTTGATGTAAACGTCACCCCAACAACTCCTCTTCCGTTCCCCGTGGCGAGCCAGCCCTCCTCATAGTACCGCCTCCGGCACACCGGCTTGTCCTTTTCACTCTTGGGGACCCGGCCTTTCCACGAGAGGCAGAGGATGTTGGAGTCGCTGCAGAGGATGGGACCATGTTCCACGGCGGCCAACATCCCTACTGAGTGACCAGGCTGGTAGGTAAAGCAGAGGAAGAGGAAATATATCACTTTTTTTGACCTTATTATAAAACCAGATCAAATGCAAGTTATCAGTTCGTGTCGGACTAAATTGACTTAAAAACTGGCTTATGTTGAAGTTCACCGCCATCTCATTCCCTCATCAGCCTCTCAGTTCATGTATCTGCCCAGTTCCATTCATTCCCTGCCAGATCATTAAAGTTGCCTGGTGCTTGTTTGCACTTTTGCTTTCAAGCCACCAGTACAAGTGGTGAGATTATTCTTTTAATTTCCGTCTCCAACTCAAGAATTAACTTTGAAATCACACTTTTTAAGTCAACATGGATGAGAAGTCCTAAATATGCTCATAAAAATGAAAATTTCAACATCAGCTGGGCAAACTTTGATACAACAGAAAGGTCCAGAACAGCCACTAAAAGGACTTTGTGGTGATATTTTTCTGGTTACCAAGACAAGGGTGGATTTAAAATGAAGCTGCCTAAAGAGTGACAAGTTTCATCCACTAATAACGTATATGTAAAAAATATCTACATACTAATGGGCGTCATCTTACTAAGCTAGTTCATAGGCATCTAATGTGAACAGTTTCAAGGGGCTGGTGCTCTCGCTGTTCGAGATATTCCATCATTTGAGTGAACAGAGCTTGCTACAGTGAATCACTAAATGTGCCCTTATACCAGTAGAATCACCATGGCTGCTGCTCACAGTGTTGTAGCTGTTGTTCTATTATTCACTGTGGAGCAGCTCCAGGACTTGTCCCTAGATGACATCATCACTACAGTCTGTCTTTTGTTTGTACAGATTCACAAACTAAAAGTATTATATAAATACCGTGTAAATTATATTTTAAGGCAGATTTTAAAAAAAATAAAAAATAAAAATGCATTTTATTGCCTGTTGAAACACTGTGCTTTCTGTTCATTTAATTATTGCTGTCCTCAAGGATATAGTGTATATTTTGAAACAGAAAAAGCTAAATTTCCAATTAAAGCTTTGCCCTTTTATGTCTTCTTATCTTACTCCAATGTCTGACAGTATTCCATCTTATCTTTCTTATTGTTTCACGTCTTCAGTGAACCTAAATTATGTTTACACTGAGTACAAATACAAGACTCCATGTTTTTGGCTGAACAATTCCATCAAATATATCAAGCATGTCTTGCGCATTACGTGTTACACATTTCACAAATATTAGTCTGACTTAAGTGGTATTTTTGGCAACTTTGGGATCACCTCTACAATTTAAAATGAAGTCCTGCTGAATGTGAATAATGTTTGGCTGCGCAGAAAGAGTTTATACTTTTGTAAGTAGCATAATATGTAATAATATCTTAATGGCTGAGTAACCTGGGAAAATCGTTTCTGATATGAAAGAAATTCAACATACCTCATAGTTCCTGGACATGTTGAGTTAAAAATCCTCCATTGATAGTGTCCATATTTCCATTCAGATGATGCATTGAAGGGTAATGGCTGCTATGCTCCTGGTGCTTACAATAACATATATGGGGAGGTAAAATGCATCGTACAGCCAGATGTGGTCCAGCTCTACTCTGATTTAAATCACACAGCTCTGCACTTCAGAGTTTGACATGAAATGAGGCTTCTCTGATGTCAGTGGCCCGCCCCGTGTCTTCCTGGTGTGGCTCTGAAGAGTCGTGTCATCCTGTTGAAATGAGAAGGAAAAACACGAATCAAGAACACCGTTATTCAACAAACTATGACAACCTAAGAGAGTGATAGAGAGGTGGTTCTCGCTTAAAATAGCCGCGCTGTCGTTCAGTGCATCAACCTTGAAATCCACAGTTTTTCTCAGTCTCTATGCAACAGCAACACTGCATTGGAGATCAGGGCACTCGCAGTCTCCATGGGTACTGACTGTCCGTTTCTGCTATTTTACGTCAAACACCAGAACAGCCAGGCAAGGATGTGAACTCCTATATTCTAATTTATTCATCTAAAAAAACACCATCAGCGTATTCCAATGCAGATACTAGGAATACATTAGTAACATTTCAAACAAACAACGGTTAAAAACATGTTTGCCTCTTACTTTGAAGGAATGAAGATTCCCAGCATCCAATAAAAGTCGAAGTTAAAGACCCATCATCTCCTCTGTAAAGGTTATCTCACTACATTACACATTACATCAATTGCATTTCTCATTCAAAGGCGTCTTGGAGCCCATCTGACCGCATGCAGCAGTCTGAATGAGCCACTGCTGATGAGACCGATGAGCTGCTCGATGGGGGGGGGATCAATAAGTGCATTCATCAAAGAGGTTATATATGGACACACATTATGCAGCTGTACGTACTGTACCTGACACCGCTGTAACAGCGTTAATCCAGAGGCAGTCGGCGCACAGTGCGATGTCGTGTTGCCAGGCACTGTTCCGCTGGCGCACTTTGGGGTTGTGGCTTTAAAACGGGTTGCCATGAGGCAGTTAGCACGGAAAATAGACCCCGAACTTCAAAATCCCGTTCAAACGAATGCACCAACACACACAATAAACCTGTCAATAATCACCGAAGGTAAGTATGTACAGTTTAACCACATTTGTTACTATATTTTGATGTGGAGCCTGGTCCACACGCCACTATAATCAAAACTAGATGTATTGCTGCACCTCAAAAGGGGGTTTCTTTCATAATGGCAACCTTGCTCGGCACACCCCATCTTTGTAATGTAAGTTGTAGTGACATTCTTGACACAAGACCTTGCTGTGATGAATGTGCTTGTAGTGGACTGTCCTTCCTGCCACAACGTTACGTTTTATTAATTAATAACTGATAACTTTCCTCCATTTGCCAAGCAGCTTATGACACTATATTCACTCAATATAAATATATAAACGGATTCTATTGTTTTATTCATGCACAAAAAGCACACGCACTGAAATCAAATCAATATTACATCTTTATTGTGGTATTTGATAATATATAACCATCTAGCACACAGTGTTGCCGTCATCTTCATGCGATCAGATTAAAATGCCTCAGACGCTCTACATGCATGGTCATGAGATGTTCTGCAAAAAACTACAGAATATTAGAAGTGCAATGATTAATCGATTAATCGATTAATCATTTGAGTCTTTTTTCAAGAAAACATTTGCTTGTTACATCTCCTCCATTTGCTGCTTGCCTCTATTTTATATCATTGTGAATTAAAAAAAGACATTTGGAGAAGTTGCTTTGGGCTCTGGATAACTATGATGGGTATTTGCTTTTTTATTCTGAGACATTCTACAACTAATTGATTCATCGAGAAACGAACAAAATTCTCAATTATGAAAATAGTCATTAGTTGCACCCCTTATCTATATCTCAACACTGTGATGAGACTTGATGGTTGTGGAAGCATCTTATTCAGTTAAGGACACTTCTTTAGACTGAAAAGTGTTGGAAATGGTCTGATAAATAGCAGAGCACAGTCAGAAAGTCCTGTGTAATCCCAGAATGTTCTCCCCTTTTCAGCTTCTCTTGTATTTATGCAGAGAGATTCAAGTGCATGTCTCTTCAAAAGCATGGATGACACTGTCGTATGCAGGAGGGGGAGTCTGTGAAGGTAGAAATCCTTTAAGTCCGTTGCCGCCCAACCAGAAGGAATGTCTCTTGTTTGGTACGAGGGCTGCTGAATCCGACGAGTTTGAAGCTGCTGTGTCCTTAGGCATGATGATCAGAGTGTCCTCTGCCATCTCCAGGCCAGCCCTGCTCCTCTTGGCCACAGGGTGAAAGGTGGAGGCCTCGACGCCGGGCTTACTCCCCAGAGGGCCCACTGGCTCCAGAGAGGGCTGTCTGTAGACGCTCAGAAAAGTGCTTCTGTAAAGGCCCAGCTGGTTGCCCGTGGCTGTTTGTGAAGTGCCGGATCTCTTTTTGGAGCGCCTGGTGATCCTGGCGGTGGCCTGGCGCCGGGATGCCCAGGTCAACAGAACGTAGACCAGAGCACCGAGCAGCAGGCCCACAAGCACTGACAAACAGAAGGCTAAAATCATATCGCCTGGAAAAGGCAAAAAAAACAACAATGCAGTGTTAAAAAAGGGGAAATACTGTAATAAATGTTTAGCAGAATGTGAGGCAGGATGTATTGTGTTGTTCTAAACATGGGGAAGATTATTTCCCCAGATGGACTTTTCAGTTGCATTTCAAGAAAGAAATAGAATCTTATTAGCATTGACAAGGAGCAGATGCATGAGTACATCTCCTATGTGCCAGATTGTTTCAGGGAATTTTGTGCTTTTTTATTGATTTGCTATTGCTGGACACTGCTATACTGAGCAGAGTGTTATATAAAATCTTACATCATACCTGCGTGTGGGCTCACTGTCTAGGTATAGCATCATTGTGTTGAAGCACAAACTGAAATAATATCTTCACTTTTTATCATTCGATTGTCCTCACAAAAAAGTTGTTCGCGGCACGTTTATGCACCTTTCCACAACAAGGCAATTTGAATTGCACAATTCAAATAAGACATAAACAGGCGTTAACATAAGACATGAAAGAAAAACAAGATGTACTACATAAATAGGAATTCAAATTAATTAGCTTAAATAGAGGACACAAAATAAGCTAAATGGAATTAAACAGAAGAAACACAGGGATAAAATGGTACGATGTAGTTACAGTATAGACGGATACAAATAAAAACCTAAGCTTAATACAAGACAGTACCAAATAAAGGCTTTCAGCTGAGTGTTTTTTGGAAATGTGTTCCAAATATGTGATGCATACTAACTTTTGTCTTTGTGTTTAGGAGATGAAACAGATTTGTATGTGAAAATGTAACGTTCTTGTATCAATTGTACTATTATATCTGCGTTTTACAAGACAACATGCTACTGTTACATAGTAGCTTTGGGACACTACTTAGATCTTCAAAAGAAACAAACACATATACACTCACCAAGATTAAATGATTTTAGTATTTCCAAAATGGGATGTGTTTCATTATGTGCCATAATTCCACCATAAACTGTTGTTAGATTCCACATCGACTCCGAGCAGACAGATGGACGCTAAGCTTTTTCCAAGACAAGCTTTTTGCTCCCCCCCCCCCCCCC